ATTAGAACAAGAATTTGATGGTGTCCGGGAGTAATTGTAGACACGGTCACATTCAATGGAACATTTGTTGGATATTTAACTTTATTCTAATCTTTACCTCTTCTAAGATCCTTTTCACTGAGCGTGGGCTTGAAAAATAATTTGGTCACTCGATCCACGACTGTTTGTGGGACGCTGCTGATCGCAATTGGCTGCCGTGTTTCGCCCACAAATATACAGTCAATTCACTTTACAGTATATTCTGTGAAGCGCTTTGAGACGTCTCGAAGACGCGATAAGGCGCTATATCAAATGCAAGGATTATTATTATTTTTATTGTATTGTTTATTCATTGTCTTCCATATCAAGGCCATATCTGTGGCTGCTTATGCAGCGATTTAGTGCATGAGCAACATTCAGTTCCAGGGCAGGGCTGTCTGGTTCATTGGTGTAACGGTTGGAGCTTTCTAGTGGTAATAACGGCACAGCTACAGAATTATCTAAGAATTCGAAGGAATAAATGAATGCGCCACATCACACGCTTTCATGCGTTTAATGGAACTGCTGCAAACTGTATTTTGTTTTCAGTCGAGGGCCCTTTTGTGAAGTGCTCAATTATTAAATAAATTAGGTGTGTTAGTGAGCACTTCAGCTTTGAAACAATCTCCGTAACGATTTGCATTGAGTAATTCTGGAGCGTTTTAGGTGGTGTGGTTCCACTATCTTTCCTCTCCAGGCTTTCTTTCCAGGCTTCGCTGCGCTCTTTCCTCTCCACCTATTAATTATTCGAACCCCTTCAGTCGGGTTTCCGTGCTGCCCATAGCATAGAAACCGCCCTGGTCAAGGTCATTAATGACATCTTGACCATCTGCGACCAGGGCTTCCTCGTCCTCCGCGACCTATTGGCCGCATTTGATACGGTCGACCACGTTATCCTCCTCCACCGCTTGTCCTCCCACCTCAACCTTCAAGGCCCTGTTCTTAAGTGGTTTAGGTCGTACCTCTCCCACCATCTTCATTTTGTTTCCACAAATGGCTTCTCCTCCAGCCCCCGCGGTGTCCCTCAGGGCTCTGTCCTCGGTCCCCTCCTCTTCACCCTCTATATGCTCCCCCTGTGGTGACATCATCCGCAGACATGGGGTAAACTTCCACATGTATGTGGATGACACCCAATTCTACCTTTCCTCCTCTACCCTCAACTCCACGACCCCCGATGTCCTGACAGCTGTCTGTCCGACATCGAGTCCTGGACGAGAGACAACTTTCTTCAGCTCAATGTGCACAAAACCGAGGCCCTCCTGATTGGCTCACGTCAGCGCCTCCGCACCTCAGGCGCTGACAGCATCAGCATCCAAGGCTGCACTCTCCACCTCTCAAAGCCATCAGGAACCTCGGTTCTGTTCGACCCTGAGCTGTCCTTTCTCCCCCATATCCGCGCCACAACTGGCACCGCCTTCCATCACCTCCGGAATATCGCCAGACTACGGCACTACCTCACCCCTCACGCGGCTGAAACTCTGGTCCACACCTTTATCACCTCAAGGCTGGACTATGGGAACTCTCTCCTCGCCGGCCTTCCCGGCACCTCCCTCCACAAGCTGCAGGTCATTCAGAACTCTGCAGCTCGTGTACTGTCCCGCACCAGACACCGTGACCACATCACTCCCACCCTCGCTCGCCTCCACTGGCTCCCCATCCCCCAGAGGATCGAATTCAAGATCCTCATCCTCACCTACAAGGCCATTCACGGCCTCGCTCCCCCCTACCTCTCTGACCTACTATCCCCCCACGTACCTGCCCGTACCCTCCGTTCCTCTGGCTCCGGTCTGCTCCACATCCCCCGCCCCAACCGCCCTACCATCGGTGGCCTTCAGCCTCTCAGCCCCGAGGCTCTGGAACCTCATCCCCCAGTGCCTTCGCCGCTTCCTCCCTTTCCTCCTTCAAGGCCGGTCTCAAGACCTTTCTCTTCGACCGTGCCTTCAGCTCCGCTCTCGACTCTACCCCCTCCTTACTCCCTCCCTACCCTCCCCTCACCCTGACCATTTCCCCCTCCTCGCTCCCTCCCTTCCCTCACCCTGACCATTTCCCCCCAATGCTCGGGTCCTGACCCAACTGTCCAGAGCCTTGGGACGTCCTCCCGACGTGAAAGGCGCTCTATAAATGAAATCTTGTTGTTGTTGTTGTATCCATATGTAAGAAAACATAGTCTGAAGAATTTACTGTAAAAGCATTGATCCCACGAGTCTAGAAATCCTATCAATGGCTTGATTTAACTAATATCAGTTAGCCTGCCTGAAAAACAATCAGCAAGACACAGGTTCTACTTGTACGTGTTGAGGTATAGCTGTTCATAGTTTATTTTAAGAACCTTTTGCTTATGTAATTGTTGCCCCTTTTAAGCCAAAAAACGTAGACTGACCTCTGTAGTTTTTCATGTGGTGGATTCCCTAACCCCACTGTCATGTTGAGGGAGATACTGGGTACCAGCTTGTAAGGCAGAACATAAAACTACAGAGAAAGAAACCCCCTAGATCAGTATTATTTGTCTTCAATAAACTGGTCACAAAGCAGCATTGGAAGAGGATAATAATAATAATCCTTACATTTGATATAGTGCTTTTCACGTCTTCTAGACATCTCAAAGCACTCATTATTATTGGCTTGGAGGGTGGTGGTGGGAGAAGTTATAAAATAATCAGAACAAATAAGAGTGCGGGTTTCTGCTTCTGAATGGCTACTGCCTGCAAAGTATAAATGAAGTCTAGCACCTGCAGTTCCCTAACGGCACAAGCATAAAGAGTAATTCTTAACTCCAGCTATTTGTCAACTGGCCAGACTCCCTTTATTCCTGCCTGCTGATAAGGTCACACTGTAGCACTGTGTGACAAAGCTTAAATCTTTGTTATTAGCAAGAGAGTAAGAATAGCATTTATAGCGTGATACCGTCAGGAAGGTGCGGCAATAAAGCTTTGGATGGAAGTGAACTTTAATTACAGGCAAAGTCCTTTGGAGGCAGGAATTGCATTTGAACAGTCTTGGATTTTCCAGTGCCCCCATTCTGTCACTCCCTTGACTTTCAGAGAAACCACTAATTCAGAGTGACTGAATAACCTCCACATAACTGCCAGATAACAGCTGCACAATACAGTTTCACAGCCTTGATGCAGTCTTTCTGTCTAAAATTATTACCAGCCATAGTTAGTGACCAAAGATTATTCCTAGTGCTTTTTTCATTCACATAATCTCTCAAAAAAACAGAGGATAGTTCAGGCAATATCCTTTTTATCTTGAGTAAGATTGATGTTAGCAATTTTTTCCCAACTGCTGTCTTTCTCTCTGGTTGCACAGACCTCCCATAAACATGTTACTTCCAACTGTGTCTGCGGTCAACATCTTTGCCTTTTATTTCTCTGCTTGATATCCCCCACGTGCATTTGTCAAACACTGTGAGACTTGCTTTTACGTGAAAGGTGCTGTATGAGCGCAAGCTGTTCATTCTTTTTAATATTATCCCATGAAGTTACCTGCCAATCTTGTTCAAAGTCGATGATATTTTCACACAAATACAGTCACTTCACTTCAAGCAAACAGGGTTTTGCTGTGATGAGGCAAAGGCAAGGATTAGTATTAAAGTGAATTCTGATTTGCTGATTAAATATTTTAACATTGTTCAATTTCAAACCTTCAGGGTTTAACAGTGAGACTGAAATTGGACGCTTTTATTGTCATTGTTGTGGTAGAATCGATAAGATTTGCACACAAATACTGTCATTTTGAGTTGAGGTACAGATCAGCCATGATCCAATAGAATGGTGGAACAGGCTTGAGGGACTGAATGGCCTAATCCTGTTTCTGTGTTCCTAGAATACTAATGTATTTTCCCCAAGGAGTCGAAGACTGATTTACCACGTAAAACATTTAGATTTGTTTTCAATCGTTCTGTAATCTACTGCCTTCAGAAGGAATTGGAAGCTACATATAGAAATTCCAAATGAATATCTGTGCGGACTTATTGATGCGGTATTAAAAAGTAACGGTACAGTGATTTCCATTCACTAGTTTGGCCATCATAAAAGAATCGATTCCAGAATCCATTACGTCTAACCATTTTGACAAATCCTTGCCAATACCCACAATTAAAACTGCACAGCTGCCCGGGAACTAATACAAGTACCACCTGGGTACAAGTAGATCTGCAAAATGATTTGGTTTTGTAATAGAGCATTCCTTACTGCTGACTAATAATGCACGTGTTGTTCGATGCATTCTTACCTTTTCCAGAAAGAACAGTTTTGAAGCAACTAAGAACTAAGCCGAACGGCTTAGTTTTTTTTGCGCTGCGCAGTCAAGCTTAACAAGATGCCCTAGGTTCACGTAAGGTATCTTGCCAGCAAGTGGATGCCAGCTGTCACCAAATACCAGAGGGAAACTAACGTTGGGAGTGGCTGTTGTGCTTCATTGATTATTCTGAACTTCACTCTGTTCCTAGCAGGTGGAGGCAAGCTGTGACAAAAGGGTGAAAATGTGTTTTGGCTTTAGTCCCCCAAAACCTTCACATTTTGGGAATAATAATAATAAAAATAATCATTGCATTTGATATAGCACCTTATCAGGTCTTCAAGACATCTCAAAGCGCTTCACAGAATATACCGTGAATTGACCGTACATTATAATTATTTTTTATTTCAGAATGTAAATCGCCTTGTGATTTGCCTGTCTTCACTTAAATACTAGTGAATATTAATAAGAATCCTTGCCGTGAATGCAGTCCTTGAATGTTTTTAGCTTGAGATTTCAAAATGAACCACTGGAAGCAAATACTGTCAGTTAACTAACTACATCTGCTGGGGACTGTTGATTTAAAAACTTGCAGGGGATTTAGCAGTTGAATTGCTGGCACAGACGCACCACATTCTGTTTGGATGCAAGGCTTTGAATGGTAATGGCTTCACTCCAGATGAATGTTTCCTCCAAGGAACAAAAGCTTCCTAACCATTTTATTTCACCCTCTTTCCCCACAGATGCAAGACAAAAGTCTACCAGGATGACCTACCGGACACAAGCGTTGTCATTGTTTTTCACAATGAAGCTTGGAGCACTCTGCTTCGGACTATTCACAGCGTTATCAACCGTTCTCCAAGAAGAGTGCTTGCTGAGGTCATCCTTGTGGATGATGAGAGCGAAAGAGGTAACCACAATTTTCACTGTACAAGTTTTATTATTATTCAGTATCTTAAGCGCAAGCGAGAGGACCTGGGTTCGATTCCCGGCAAGGTGAAATGTTGGGCAAGTTTCCTTACTCCACACGCCTCTGTTAACCTAGCAGTAAGTAGGAACCCGGTCGTTAGTCGATTGGTGGATCGCTTTTCCGGGGGTAATAATTCCTTCAAAAAGAATAATAATAATAAATTGATCACTTGAATCCGCGACTGTTTGTGAGACATTGCTGTGTGCAATTAATTGGCTGTTGCATTTTGCCCACAAAATATACAGTCAATTCATGTTGCAGTATATTCTGTGAAGCACTTTGAGACGTCTCAAAGACGTGATAAGATGTTACATCAAATGCAAGGATTATTATTATTATTAAGATGCCTCGATATAAAAGATCAATTTATTCTCTATTCTATAACAGGCACAGATGAGACGAGATTAGATCAGAAGGAAAATATACAATTATTATCAAATAATACAATTCAAAGAGAAGGAAAATATAGCCATATTGATGGGCTGAACCAAGGCAAATGTTTTCTCAATCGGGCTTGGCTGAACTCAGATTTCTATCACTTTTATGTTGGCATATTTTTCCTATTTCAAGCATGGGATTTTTTTCCCTTTCTCAGAGAATACATTCCCTCTGGTATTGCAATGTTCATGTTGACGATTCAGTCAATGATAATGCCATGATACAGACTGAATTTCAGCACCAACATTGAGATAGCACCTGCTGCCTGAAGGAACTACTGTTGAATTGTTTCCTAACTGTTCAAGGTCATATATAGATAGAGTACAAGACAATGATTCTGAATAGACTCTTTTTACACTCAGATTCTCTCAAATTAATAAGAAAGAAATAGTTAATTTTGTTAATCTTAGGATAGACCTTGAAGTGTACCCATCGAATAATATAATAATAAACCTTACGTTTGATATAGCACCTTATCACATCGTTGAGATGTCTCAAAGCACTTCACAAAATTTACTGTAAAGTGAACCAAATCTATATTTTGTGGGCGAAATGCGGCAGCCAATTGCGCACAGCAGTGTCCCACGAAATAGTGGTGGATTGAGTGACCAAATTATTATTATTTAAACATATTTTGAAGGGATTATTCCCCCAGGAAAATGATCCGCCAATCGACTAACCACCAGGTTCCTATTTACTGCTTGGTAAACAGAGGCTTGTGGAGTAACGAAGCTTGCCTAAGGTTTCTCCCCGCCTGGGAATCAAACCCAGGTCCTCTCGCTTGCGAGACGAGTGCTCTAACCAATATGCTACAGGACTCCATCTAATTACGGCAAGTTTACTGTTAATTAGGAAAAAATTGTATGTCCAACCATGTTACGAAATGTTAGGTATGCAAAGAGCAGACATTCATTATGCAGTATATTGCCTGGTTAGACTTAATTTTTCTTCTCTTTTCCAAAGGTCTTTTAATTTCACCAAAAGCTATGATTTATCCAAGTCGGTTACATTTCATTACAGTTATAGTAAAGTTTAAGTGTCGGGAATGAATTTTATGATTAAAGTCTTGAATAATGTATGAGAATTCTCATCCATTATTGACTCTAGAAGCAGCAGAGAACAAAAGAATCAAAGCTTTCCACAGACCTGCCTCACAGAAATAAACTGCGAGCAATTGTTCATTCAGTGGTTGGAATTCCAAGTGTAATTGGTTTTGGTAGTAAAATTAAATGATGATCTTCCATAATCCATACTTGATATTAACAGAAGATGGTGTTTTTAATCAATCCCTGTCATTTAGTGGAGCCTACAGCAATTAGCACCAGATAACCTTTGTATGTCAATGATATGCCACAGAAAGCTCATTGTTTTATCAGCCACTGTGAAAATACCAGGAAGGTACTTGGAGCATTTTGTGGTGATGAAACTACTTACTCTCTTTGAGCAGTAGCTTTGTGATGTGCACCAATTTTATCACTTTGGTATATTTCCCACTTTGGTACATTGGTTATATTTCAAACAGTGCGTCAATTCAGGTTTGCTAAATGGAGAGGATGAGTTCTTGCTCGACATCGCATTGTGATTATTGCGGGCGACATTATAAATAGAATGTCACTTTGCATGGGCAGATGTATGACTTAGCCGATTATACGATTTACACAGATCAGACTTATGTGAGTTGTACTGTGTTTCTGTTTGGGGTCAGTGTAAGACTTTATTTGGAAAAAAAAGGTTTCATCAGCAGCAAAATGAATTGCTTAACTTTCCTTCTTTAAAGAAGCTGTTTAACCATGCTGTTAATTACTTATCACCATAATAAGCATTTGTTTCATACAGCAGTTTTACGCATAAGAATTTACAGGACCAGAAAAGATCATTGTGATCTATCATGCCGGGACCAAAGATTTTCTTTAAAAAGAAGTGAAAATACTGACTGTATTCTCATCTAATTCCCTTTTAGATTTGCTGACACAGTCTTCTTCCACCGCCTCCTTCGGTAGTCTTTCCACATACACACCACTCTCAGTTTAATTACATCTTTCTCTTTGGGGCTCAAGTCTGTATCTCTGTGTTTTGGATGTTTTGATCATGTTAATGTATAATTCGAGGTTAATATCTTTATAGCCTTTAGTATCTTGAGCACTCAATAATACAGCACGTTATATATTCAGAACCGGAACTGGGATTCTTTAAGGGTCAGTAACAAAAAAAACTATAAGGCCGACTATTTTTTAATGAATATTTTATTGCTCCATTGATTGCACTGCCCACAAGAGAAATTCCCAATTCATCGGTTTCTGGACTGAATTGGTTTCGAAACTCTTCTTTGTTGTAGATTTCCTAAAGAAACCCTTGGAGAATTATGTGAAGAAGTTAGAAGTTCCAGTGAAGATAATTAGGATGGAGCAAAGATCTGGATTGATTCGTGCCAGACTGCGAGGTGCAGCAGCATCTAGAGGCCAGGTCATTACCTTCCTGGACGCACACTGTGAATGCACTATTGGGTGGCTTGAACCCCTGCTGACCAGAATAAAAAACAACAGGTAAGATGGTGCTGACGTCTTGATTGTACAAAAGAAAAACACGAGTTCACACGTTTCACAGCCCTGCGGTAGCCAGCGTGCCAGGAGCTAGAAAACTCAATTGCTCGCTGCAACAGAAACCTAACTAAAGCACTTGGTTTCTGATCCCATACAATAGCACAGGGCTAGCGTACTAAATAAAGGACAGACATTGGTCCCTACTGATAACCCCTGTCAACTAAAATTAAAACGGGATCCAGAAGAATTTTTTAGAAGGGTCAAACTGGGGACTTCTTTAATAACCTCAAGGCAGCAAACACGATAGATTAATTAAAAAAATAATAATTTGAACACTCAAGCCACGGCTGTTTGTGAGATCAATGCTACGCGGCAATTGGCTGCCGCGTTTCGCCCATGAAACGTAGTCAATCCCCTTTTTTTTGCAGTAAACTCTATCAAAAAATGCTTAGAAATAACTTGACGACTTGATAAGGCGCCATATTGAATGCAAATATTATTATTATTTTATTTGGAAATGTTTATTTCTAAGATTTGTGTTATTTGAAATGGAACGTGAGGAACATCAAACCAGACACCCGAGGATCTGCATCCTCTCTCCTTCCTTCAACTTGAAACCTTGAATTCCCCCATTTCCTGTCACCAAAAAACAGTGAGCAAAACGCTATTTGCCATAGGGAACCTTCAAGAAGAAAAGGGTTTGGTCAAGTCTACCTGCACTAGTAAAAGCTTATGATGAAAGACATTTGAATCTGCTTCAAGTGGTTCATTTAAACGGCACTAACTCCCTTTGGAGGAGTGCTAGGAATTTATTTGAGGTTTTGTGTCCCTGTGGGCATAGCAAACTGGAAACTTTCAATTTTAGCTGAAGCTGTTCTGTTCACTGCTGGTGTATGCTGAGGTGAACTACATATGGGACTGTTACACAACTAGATTTGATCTATCTGGAAGGCAATATTTTTATTTTATTCTTAAAAAAACCACTCACATCTTATAAAGCAGATATTTATGATCGGCTGGATGTGCAGAAACCCACTGAGAGTTCCAGATATCTATGACTCCTGCTTGTGGAAATGGCCCTGTTTCTGGAATGGAATGTGCTTTCTGTCCCCTGGGGAGACAGACGCACCTAACTTACTTAATTCCGGAGAGTATTGGGTGCAGGTTGGCAGGTTGCCCAGTGGTTGCCGTGTCTGTGGGTTGGAGTATTGCTACAGTTTAACCAGCTAAATCCACATAGCTTGTCATTTAGAGCACCGACTGGCAAGTTTCCTGCTGCCTGTGGACAAGGGACTGCCCCACCCGTTTGGACATTGGCTTGCAGAGATAACTGGATCCGAGTGGGAAGATTCCCTGTGCCCAGTGTTTGGTCTGCTTGTGCAAGTCCTGCTGATAAACCAATGCCTGGATCTCCTGTGCACCTACCTGGCTAAGGAACTGGACTATCACGTAGCAATAAACTATTGATTTGATATTCCATTGCATTGTTACTTTGGAGCTCGTCATCCATCCACTACCTGCCTCTAAGGAATAGATTTGGAACAAAACCTTTGGCAATTGGCCACTTTAACCTCGTCAAAACATCTCTTTTTAAGTCCTACTATTGTCACTGCATCATATTTGTCCCCATCATTAAAGAAGGTTTAATAACCTAATCGAACAAAACCAACTGGAGGTCTTTTGATAAAAAATTAAACATTCTTCGCCCTGAGGACCTAGCTGTGGAGTTATGTAAATTGGATTCTAATTAAATTGTTTCTTTGGATTAATAGTGCAGAGGATAATTAAAGAATGATTTCATTCCACGTTCTCTGAAAAACAAATATGTGCCGGCTGATGGTGAAAAGTATCTCAGTGTAATATTTTCAGACACAACAGAATGTCATCTCATGTAGAATAATGATAATCTGACTTGCACTAATCTTAAGGCTGAGTTCTGATCCAATCAGTGAGAATGAAAGGGGTGGGGGGGTGGCGGGGGGAAAAGAAAGCTGCCCTTAATTTTGCATTTGCAAATTTTTCCATGAAGCTTTCATCAGGAACACGTGGCTTTCAAATCCGGGGATGTACTTGATTTATATTTCATATTCTTCCTAATGTCACCTTCACGAGAAGCTCATTGAGTTTTCCAAACCAGTTGTATATCCTTATTCCCCAAAGTATTTATGTAAATGCCACTTGTCACTTCTCTGAAGTGCCCTTCATCTTCTTCTTTCAGGACGTTTGTAATTACTTACCTATAATTGCAATTTGTATTCTTGTTATGTCTGTTTTTTTTAGTATCTTGCAGTAGTGAGTAGAGTTCAATGACAATTACCACCTACTGTTATTCAAGCCTTTATCGAGCACTTTTGGAAGAAATATGCGCATATTGTGAAGAAAACCAGTGGAATTATTCAAGCCACAAATCTGTAAATGTGTTGGACCATGTGTATTTATTGTCTATTCCTATTGTCTCCGTGAACGTTTTATATTATTGTATTTAACATGGCGAAAGAGTAGCAGAAAAAAGGTTTGCTTCAGTGATGCTACTTTAATAATAATAATAATAATACTCCTTGCGTTTGATTCAGCACCTTATCACATCTTTGAGACATCTCTAAGTACTTCGCAGAATTGACTGTATATTTTGTATTATATATTATATCCTGTGAAGCCCTTTGAGACTTCTTGAAGACTTGATAAAGCCCTATATCGAATTGCAAGGATTATTATTATTATTGGAAGCTGTAATGGCCAGAAGACAATGGTCATTTCAAAGTGCAATATATTTGTTCAAAATCTATGTTTTTGACTCTGTTTACTTTCCAGGAAAACTGTGGTTTGCCCAATTATAGATGTCATAAGTGATGACACGTTTGAATACATGGCTGGATCGGATATGACGTATGGTGGCTTTAACTGGAAACTAAACTTCCGTTGGTATCCAGTGCCCCAGAGAGAGATGGACCGCAGGAAAGGGGACAGAACCTTACCTGTTCGGTGAGTAAAGGAGATAGTGAAACCCTCTCATCCACACCTTGAATCTCTGATTTAGATATCTGTTGTTGATCATAATAATCTTGCATTTGATACAGCGCCATATCACATCGTTGAGTCAATATAAATACTCTAGAGTGGATTGGATTGACTGTATTTTGTGGGTAACATATTGTTATCACTTCCATCTTGAGACGAGTGCGAATAAACCCAGATTAGAAATAGTTTCTCATATGCTCGTGCCAAACCCGGCTTTACCGTGTGATGTCGTTTGCGGGTCTGGTCAGTTGAGCAGAATCGAGCAGTTTTCACAATAAGATTTGAAAAAAATCTGACTTTTCTATGGAATCAGACTGGAAGACAAACCGAGATTCCAAATCAGTTGAACGACATTTGCATTTGCACCTGCAGTGGAGTTCTTGTGAAATCACCTTCTCGGAAAAGCAAATCATTCCACAATTGAGCGTTGTAATTTATGCTGCATTTCAGCACTGATTAATTCAACACCATTTACGTTGAATTAATGTTAAAATTACAATATGAATAGGGTAATAATGTATTGTTGGGGAACAATATATATACCAATATCTCAATAGGTCCCATCTCTTTCTAGATGGAGTATTTCATTGGGTACAGATTAATAAATGTTTGAGATGTCCTTCCCATGTGAAAACCATTATATAAATATGAATTGTATTGTGTATTTTATATATACACAGCTTGTCAAGGCTGTGAGGCATGCGATCACTGAGACTATTATCAACAAGCCTAATGAATTACCAGAATATATGTTGAGGTGGCATAAATCATAACTGGTTATTTTAACCTGTCTAGTTCATAGGTAAGAGCACAGGAAAAAAAATTGTGTTAATTTGAGCACTCTAAGCTTCAAAAAAAACACTGATGAAAGGAGTTTAGGACACAGCAAAATGGTGATGATTGAAAGTTAATCTGATAGCATTCATGCCCACCAATAAAAGTGTACAACAAACTTTCCAACTTTCCATGTTTGCCTTACCTTATGAAAAAATAGTACAATCTGATTTATATTCCAAGGCAAAAGATTTCCATTTGAGATTCGGTGCCTGATAATCTGATAATCTTTCAAATCAATTGGCATTACAGAACAGTATTTGAAATGCACTTAACAACGAGGATCAAGGAGGCTTTGACAGTAATCTGAGCTTCTAGCCTTACTACACGTCATGACAGAAGGTTAACTGACTCCACAACTCTGCTTAAAAGACCTAAAGGTGACTGCGAAGTGAATACGCCTTAATCTGCTCCATTAACAAAAGGCGCTTTCTGCCCTGTTACTACTACACTACAATTTGGATTTACTCAATATGCTGTAATGACCTACAAAAAGCTCACCATTTATTTCACCCTAGTTTTTTGTCCATTGTGTTTACTTTTACAGACTTAAATAACTGACTTAAAGATCTTGTACATAAGGTAAAGTAGATGACTATTGTAAACACCACTCATTTTCTTTTAAACGTACACTTTTTCTGGGTGCTGTTTAATTCCAGTTGAAAAACGATTTAATTCACTAATCGGAAGACAGTGGTAAATTCTGATAAGAATTATATAACTTCTTAAATTAGTCATACGCTTCTTGTGGGGGAGTGTTTTTGTCCCTTCTGATCCACGTTAAGAGGAGTGAATGGTCAGCAGTGCTTTGCTAAAGGTATAGCTTTTCTATTAAAGATATGATATGTCAGTTTGCACCCACTTGGCATTATGCCGTAAGAATTCTCTCCTAATCTGCATCAGTACCATTGTTGGATAGAATATAAAGGGAACTCGCAAGGCAAAAACACAGAAGACTAGTCTCCTGAGTGGCACAGAATCAGGTTACCTATTATTAGTTTTTTAGATGGTAATATACTTGATGTTATAATTCATACATTATTTCAGGACTCATCTTTTTCTCCAATTATATGTTCGAGTTTATCAAAAATATATCTTAATTCACGAATTCCCTGCAAACATGGCAATTCAAGATGCTCGCAGGTTGGATGGAAAATTAGTTAAATGCTGAAAACTTTGCTGTGTTTCAGTTAAAATGTATAGAAGAATGTTGGGGGTATACGTTAAGCAATCTTCGTCGATGTCCCCTTTCCCTTTTCAGGATCCTTCAACATATATCAGCATCTTGTAAACCAGTTTGATCAACAAAATTGTCTTAGTAGGTACCTAAATGTAATTATGACAAAAATAAAAAATCATAATAATTTGGTTTCTCAATCCACAACTGTGTGGACCCTACTGTGCCCAATTGGCTGCTGCAATTCGCCTACAAAATATACAGTCAATTCACTTCACACTATATTCTGTGAAGCGCCTTGAGACGTCTCAATGACGAGATAAGGCGCTATATCAAATGCAAATGCAAGGATTATGTACTAGCAAATTATCCCTCTACCTCAGAAGCGTATCAGTGTTCTTTGACAGGCTTCATAAGTACTTTGAGCTACAACTGACCTTGCTTTCTCCCTTCTTATAGGACACCGACAATGGCTGGGGGCTTGTTCTCCATTGACAGAAGTTACTTTGAAGAGATTGGGACATATGATGCAGGGATGGATATTTGGGGTGGAGAGAACCTTGAGATGTCTTTTAGGGTTAGTATACGACTGTCCGTTGTCAAATTTTTCTTTGGTTTTATACGTGAATAGAATCTCCAAAGGAAAACACCTTGCTCTTTTTACTAGAATCACTGCAAAGCAATACAGTCAGCAAATATTTTCAATAACAATAATAATAATAATAACAATCCTTGCATTTGGTATAGCGCCTTATCATGTCTTCTAGACGTCTCAAAGCACTTCACAGAATAGACTGCAAAGTGAATTGACTGTATACTTGTGGGCGAAAAGTGGCAGCCAATTACGCACAGCAGTGTCCCACAAACAGTCGTGGATTGAGTGACCACATTTTTTGGGGGTTGAGGAATTATTATTTGCTCTTTGAATCCAAATGTCATCTTGTAGCAATACACCGCTGTTTATTTAATAGGTTTTCCTTGTAGGGCGCAACATTAAAAAACATTGACAAAATGTCGAATGAAAGAATGAATGTTAAATGACTGACCAATATCTGCCCGGGAAAAAAAATCTAAGTCACAAAAACATGCACTTGTGAATTCATAAAATGAAGAAACCATTTTATGTTAATCTTTTATGAGCAGGCTTTTGAAACTCTGACATACTGCCAAGTCTTTATTTTGTGCAATGTCGATGCAGTGTGAATGCTCTTATCAGACATCCTCTCTTGAAAGCACATCGTAACAACAGTAGAACCTAATTTAATCAGCATAAGTGGGAGAAGAGCAAATTATTTTTTCTTGACAGAGCCTGCATGTGGGAAACATTTATTGTCTTGCCCACCTTTGTATATAATATAAACTATTCTGCCTTTATCAGAGAAAAAATATCCTCTCTTACGCTTGCTTGTAGAAGAAAATAACAATGATTTTCAAACCAGAACCCATGTTGGAGCAAGACTTGAGAGTGACTTTATTGTGTGTTACAGATGACTAAGGTTGTGGAATAAATGTCAACACCAATTACTTCAACATGTCCTAGTTTCAATATCTGACGTTATGGCTGTCAGTTCAAATATGACTATTTTTCCGATGTGAATATAACCGTTAGTTCCTTAGATAATTATGCTTGTCTTTTTGCATAGGCATTTAAATTAGGATGTAAAATCCAGACATTGTCAATAATAATAAATGCCTGAATAACTTGGTGTAGCACCTTATTGCATTTGCCTAGAAATACACAGTCACTGCACTTTACAGTAAAATGATGTGAAGCACTTTGAGAATGTCTACATCGAATACAAGGATTACAACAACAACAACAACTTGCATTTATATAGTGCCCTTCATGCAAGACTGAGTTCGACTATAACCAACTAAACCGAGAAACTATCAATTGACCGTTCTCAATGTAGAATCCCTACATTAACTTTCTTTTTTAAAAAAACGTATGCTGTTGCAAGTGCCCACGGATCTCTATTTTGTTTAACGTAAGATTTGAGCAAGGTTTCGAGAACGATAGCAAGTGAGGAAAGCGTTTGCGGAAGGGGTTGGAGAATCAGCTTCTATGAGTTTCAAAGGTCGGTAGAAGAAAAAATAGTTGCAGGGAAAATTGCAATTCCAGGTTGCTGGAATTTGGCATTTACATCCTCACAAAGAGTCTTGGGGTCGTATACGTCAACTTTAGATGAAAGGGAAATTATAACCTTGGTATAACTTTGTAACCAACAAGTAGAGCATTTAGCAGAAGCGAGCCTCTCTGTCAGTGCTCTGTTGGTATCATTTGTGAATCCTTCCCATTGAGATTTCAGATCAACTATACTGAACTGAAAGCTGCGGCTTATTTGCTTATCTGCCACTGCTCTTGTGATAGAAATCATTACATTCACAGAGCAGTATAAGAAGCCTGAGCAGAATTTTCATTCTCAATCCGGGCCCCTGGAAAATGGTAACTTTCGTGTTTATGATCTTCTTCCCTCCCTTCCACCTTCGTTCTATTTTTTTGCAAGATCAATAAAAGTTAATGAGAAAAAAAAGCAGAAAAATTGTGGAGGCTGGATGTACGTTTGTTTTGTGTCAGGATTATCAAAGGTGAAAGATAACAGTCGGTGACTGATGTAGCTTTGATCAGCAGCCCATCTGTCTTCCTCCCATAACCTGTTATCTTGAAAGATAATAATGAATTGCTTTTATCACGATCAGTGCATTAAAAGCTGTCTTTTTTGAGGGAACTTAAAGCGAGCTGTTATCTGCCTGAATCGGATCGCGTTCCTTGAAGCAAATCAAGGGATTATGTTTGTGTCAGCAGTGTGGACGTGTAACCTGCTGTGGTTTGTACATTTGCTTAGGAAAGAACGCATAAGGTCCGTGAAGCAAAAAATAACTTGGCGTGCTATTAAATGACAACCAAGGCTACAGCAGTGCCACCTATAAATAGTTTCCATGGAAACTGCAGTCTACTGTCAATTGATGAAAAGCAAAGCAAATTTGGTAATTTACTAGAATACCCACTGGTAAATAATGTCCCACAAAGCAGCGATGGCCAAACTGTGGCCCGCGGGCCGGAAGTGGCCCCTTGGGTGTAGTACGTGTTCGATCGTTAGTGTGTTTTCAGTTTTTCTCTTGATTGAATATTTCTTAACTTATGCCATAAATCGAGAAATATTCAACCAAGCAAATTTATTTTATTGGACACTGCCATAAAGGTTGGCCCTCACTGCCATAAGGTATGATGTTAGTAGAGTGGAGTTACAGTCAAATCACTTTACAGTATATTCTGTGAAGCGCTTTGAGACATCTTGAAGACTTGATAAGGCTCTGTATCAAATGCAAGGATTATTATTATTATGTCCATCTGCTGGGGAATACAAACTAGCAGTATTTGGGATTTGGCATACTCAATCCATAGCTTGGACATTAAGATGAGGGCTTTTTTTAAACAAAATTAACTTTTAAAGAAATGTATTCTTTTTGTTAAACCAGCAGAAGCAGAAATAGTTAATGTCTACAAGTCAGACATTTTGTTTCAGAAGCAGATTTGGCTCCAACCTGGCATCCCTTTCCTGTTGTGCTTCAGTAGGAAGTAGATATGCAGGTGGAGTGCCCATGTCAAGCACCCAACAATACAATACTTGGTGTTTTCATGCAGTCTATGGAAAGAGGGAGAAATATTTTTGCTGAATTCCTTTCGTACAACGTTTTAGACCTTTGATATCCTCCAGGGAGGGAGTGCGCCATCCATTCCAACCGAAAACGCGTCTGTGGAAAAATCCATCAAAATGCATATATATCACTGTGGGTATCTACTCCTTTCATGCACCCTAGTGATACAGGGAAACAATATTCAACACACAGTCTGGATGAGAATTTTTATCACAGATGAAACGCACAGTTTACAAGCTGCAGTGATAACTAAAGTAGAGATGTGTTTAAGGAATGTGATTAAAGTAGAAGGTTAAGTCTTTATCATTGCCTCTCAGGATCCACTTTGGTCTCAATCCACAATCAAAATAATAGCGCTGCTTATTACTTGAAAAGATTGAGGAATCTGGTACTTTTATTAGCTGTAAGTAGGTATTCCTGCATTTTCAGTTGTTATAAGATGTCCCTTAAGTAAGGAAAATGCAGTGCGTCAGCCTGCTGATGAGAGTGTGAGTGGAGCTATTAATCTCTGCTATACATCAGAAGGTAGCACTGAGCCGAAGCCAGACATTTCCACACAAGGAAGGTGGACAGATTGAGCGAGTGGGATAAGTAGTCAATCCCACATAACCAGTCATTCACTCAATATTTCGAAGGGCATTGGATATATACTCGAAAAGGAAAAATGTGCAAGGCTATGGGGCAAGAGCGGGGGAGCAGGACTAATTGAATAGCTCTTTCAAAGAGCCGACACAGACAGGAAGGGCTGAATGGCCTCCTTCTGTGCTGTAAGATTCTATGATAATAATCCGGCTATTTGAGCACTCTGCACTCTTTCGATAACTAGTCAACTGTGATAACCACTCGTTTGAGCTGTATCCCTTGGGGTGACGAGTTATCAGAATTTTACTGTATTTGGTTACAGAGGGCCAGGAAAACTTTCATAATGATAGAATTATACAACACAGAAGGAGGCCATTCGGCCCATCATGTCTGTGCCAGCTCTTTGAAAAGAGCTAATCAAATCAATCCCATTCCCCCGCGCTCTCCCCATAGCCCTGCAAACTTGTCCTCCCTTACAGGCAGCACTGAGCAGTAATGTTAAACGATTACGTAAAGGCTTGTTACACGTAAACTATTATACAGATCCTATCTGACCCTCAGGTGAAAAGTCAGCAAGAGAAGAGTTGTGGGTTAGTTGTGGTGCTTTGCTTTGGATCTTAATGTTCGTGGGTTTTAAATAAAACTATTATTGCAGTCAAATGACTGGAGCGATTGATAGCTGAGGTAACTCACCATGACATGACGATTCTCTTTCAGTTTCACTGTTCCTGTTGAGTTCTGATCTCTGCTATACATCTTCAGGTTGTGCCTGAAGAGCTTCCTTTTCGACCGTGCCTACAGTCACCCTCCCGGCCTCGGCGTCATGCTCCACCACTTCATTTACTGCAATTATTACTTTTCATTTAATAACGTTATTTAGAAATAGTCACTAATATTGAAACGACCTTTGAGTGAAGAGGGGAAGTCCATCACAAAATACGTTTAGCATTTGATCTTATTGCAAAAATAAATACGTCACGGTGAATAAAGATTCAAAATATTCGCGTCAGTGATGTCTTCAGCAGTTTCACCCCAAAAAATCTAGTTTGCGTGTGTTTTGAAAACGGTATCTCAAAACCATTCATGTTCGAGAGGTAAGCATGTGAAATTGTTATGAATATGTTGCGGGCACCTGTTTAATCGTTACAGAAATGTGGTGACTCTTTGTGAGAGTTGTGAAAACTTGCAAAGAAACCTGGAACGTATTGATAAGCGCAAGGAAGGGACTCATGGATACTGTCGTTGTGCAAAGGAACCACATTGATCAAATGATTTGATGGTTCGATGATTTGAAGAACACAATTCCTACTCTATCTTCTCCTAGATATGGCAGTGTGGCGGATCCTTGGAAATTGTAACCTGTTCACACGTTGGCCATGTGTTCCGGAAAGCAACCCCATACACATTCCCTGGCGGGACAGGACATATCATTAACAAAAACAATCGACGCCTAGCGGAGGTCTGGATGGATGAATTTAAGGATTTCTTCTATATCATATCACCAGGTAGGCTGACAGCGATTTGATTCACGTGATCGTTTTCGCATTATTACTTTACGGGGGTACAAATTACGTTCACTCTTAGTTCCTATCGGATGTTCTCCCAAGGTTTTGATGGCAAAAGTTCATTGCATAGAATGTCTTTCTCTAACTTGTCTTGTTGAAGATGTGGCTGTCAAAATTGTGCCATGTGAAATTATCACCGATGATATTATCATATCGACCAAAATTGCAGTCGTCACAATTTGAGGGATGAGGGTGAGGGCTTTGGCTTTGAGGGGAGGGGTATCTTTGTGGTCAGCAAGAGGTATTCACCTACAAAATACTACACTTTACACAATATCCTATGATGTGCTTTTGAGACATCCTCCCAATGTGAAAGGTGCAAAATCAAATAAAGAACCATTATTATTTTTATATTATGATTATTATTAGAACAATTAACTACTTTTGTATTTTTGGTCAATATGATTATGAGCACTGTTGATAATACCACATGCTGAAATATTGACACTGTATTGTGAAATCATATTAGTTTTTCCAAGTAATTTAGATCCTGAAAATCCATTTTGCTTCTTTGCATAACAGAATCAGATTTCCCTTTGTATTATCTCTGACAGCCTATATATAAAGCTTACCTTCACTCAATACAGTATATGATGACTAATTTTCTTATTTGTTAAGATAGCTACCTATTTCAGTGTTGCAATGGTTTTATCAATAACTGGATCCCACCATAACCTGCATTATTAATTGCTGCGGATCTTTTTTCATTAGATTCCTTGTTCAGCCTAAAATTGGCACAGTTTTACTCTCTTCAAAACAAGAATGCAATTTGCTGATGTATTCATGCCAATCTTTATTATAGTTTGATACTAGGATTGCAAAAGGAACACTGCGTTTTTAAGTATTGCAGCATACATCTCAGGAATTTTGTCATCAAACCATAAAAAAATCATTAACTTTTGACTTTATTCATTACTTTTGATAGGTTTACTCACTTGTGGTTGGTGCAGTGGTAAGATTGGAACTTTGGTTAAAGAGAAGAGCAAGTTTCATTGCATCTTATCGCTAACAAATTACGCTAAGATGATTTTTAGTGCCACCGAACTAAAGGTTTACGATGCAGAATTGCATATGGCCAGAAGGTATCATTTCATGTATTGTGGAGCAGCATTAATAGGTTATGAATGCTACTAGTGTTTGAAAACGGCAATTAACCCAACTGTGATTTTTTTTTAAATGAGCTTAAATGAGGTTGAGCACAGGACAAATATTTTTGAGATCTTTGCACGATTTACCAAAATATGTCAAGATAGTGACACTGACTTGCTGTGCTACTTCCAACTATGTAGTGTCATTACCAGTGATCGATTCACCCCTGCGGTCTCTTCCAAAGGCACAGTGTGAAAATGCTGCAGAAACCCATATAAATTGCTATTTTGGGAGGAAATAATGCCCTTTGCTTCCAGTAACTTTGAAAGTTCCTACTGCCCTGGGGCCTTCGATATTGATAGTTGAAAACATTTTCTACCACTATTTCTAGCTGTAGAGTTACAGCACAATGAAAGCAGGCGTCTTGAATGCGGGTGATTATTTCTGCAAGGGATAGTTTGATGACTTCACAGGGAAATGAAATGAGACACTGTGGCCATCACCTCGAAGAGGTAGCTTCAGTGCCCACTTTAATGCCCATTAAATGGAAATAGTTTCCATCTGGCTTGAATTTATTCGGTCCTGTATCTGTTTTGAATCAGTGATAATCTGCCTGTCAATTTGGTCAGTGTTTCTTACCTCAGTTACTGTGAATAGAACAGACTCCGAAATGCACATCTATTGAAGCAGATGAGTATCACAAAGTCACTTCTTCAAAGTGCTGTCTCAGTTATAAGTGTGAGAGTCCTCTCTCCCCTATGAATTCCTCACCAACTGTCCTCCTATTTTCCCAAATCTGCTTTGTTTGTTTTCTTTAAAGTATTAAGCATCAATTTAAAAAAAAAACAATCTTGTATTTGACATTGGGGCAAGGGGTCCTAAAGCGTTTCGCAGGATTTACAGTAAAGTGTAGTAATTGTATTTTGTAGGCAAGCAAATGAATTTTTGGGGGGATTTTACCCAGAAATAAAATAGTGTAGGCTGCAGAGATACAAGGAATAATAAGGGTTATAGGTGGAGGAAACAAGAGAGAGGCATTCGATTAAGTGGCTGATATGGCTAAACAAAAGCAGTGCAGACTTGATGGACCAAATGATCAGGCTACAATACACACTCACTACACTCCAGCTGTTTCCAGTGAGCTGAGAAGGACAGTACGAGCTGGAGAAAGTGTCAAATACAATGCCACCTTAGAATACAAAGATGGTCTGGTACAGTAATGTGGCAACCTAATGGCAGGCGAGGGAAAATCATTTATTTTCATTGCCTCTAAAATGACACCAACGTAATCCATGAAATTGATTCATAAAGCATCCTGCTGGAACAAAAGGACCAATATTCAGAAAATCATTTGGCGTGATTGGTGTACTCAATCTCTACGCTCATTAAAAATGTGCAGACTAGAAAGTTGGGGTCTAGCCTTGATGCCCATCTTAAGGAACAAGTAAATCTCCACTACACTGAGACTTCTGCCTTAGCTTAAAATAAAAAAAAACACTACATGACTGATTGGGAAGATGTAATCATTCTTGATAAAGAAAGCAATGGGAACAAAAGGAAATGAATTGAGTCCTGCATATGCACCACAGTAATTGGACATTAAGCAGGACAGAAACATCAGTCTCCTTTCCTGAAGCAGACGGCTCTTAATGAGAAAGGTGTCTTCTCCATGGGGAACGGCTTTTGTTATCGCTAATATAATAACTGCAAAGCTGCTTCCTCACCTAAACTAGTTGTTTGATTTAACTGCTTACCTGCCTGAAGAGCTCCACATAACCCAGACCACCACAAATACACTAATTACTTTATGGTGAAAGTAGAATCTTAGAATGTTACAGGACAGAAAACACGAGAGATACAGCAAACCCATAAGTGTCCATTGCTGCCTCTTGTTTATATCAATCACACTTTTCAGCATTTCCCGCATTCAGTTGGCAAAAAAAAATTGCCCCCCATTTTGTCACTTGCATCCCAGAGGGATTGAGGTTATCTTGTCTTGTGTGTCATTTGCGAAAACCACTGTGAAGATTTATAACCTGTTTATGCTGCTCGAAGCAAAGCGATATTGATTCCAGCAGTAGAGTGATTATGAGTTGGAAGGCAGATGTATTCTTTCCGCTCCTAATCACTTTGCCCAGGGCTGAGAAGAGTTTCGTACAAGGACATCATAGTACATGGTTGAAGTGACAGTAATATTTTATTTTTAATGTTATTTAAAAACAAACAACTGAAGTTTTTCCACTTTCCTTTAGTTTAGAAAGTTTCAATATATTGTGCCATGCAATACAAATAATCATTGAGGGGTTAAAGGAAGTGAAGGTTACTTGCACCTGCATATAATCCAGGAAGAGCTATAATAATAATAATAATAATAATCCTTGCATTTGATATGGCGCTTTTCACGTCGGGAGGACGTCCCAAAGCGCTTCACAGAACACACTGTAAAGTGAATTGACTGTATATTTGTGGGCGAACGCGGCAGCCAATTGCGCACAGCAATGTCCCACAAACAGTCGTGGATTGAAAATGACCACTTTATTATTGTTTTTGGTTTTGGAGGGATTATTATTAGGCTCTGTGTGGAGTAAGGAAACTTGCCCAAGGTTTCGCCCTCTGCCTGGAATTGAACTCCGGTCTCTCACTTGCAAAGCGAGTGCTCTAACCACTGAGCTACAGGACTCCACTATGTCATGTGGTTGTATCTCAAAGGCCTGTTTAATGCCAGGCATCTCTGATTCCCTTCCAGGTAGCTAATGGATAAGTTATGTAGTCAGTGCCTTCATTCATGAATAATTAGTAGATCTAAAGAGAACTATTTACCTTTGTTGTATGTAAGCATTATTCATCTTTGTCAAAATTAAACTATCCCAACTATCCCAAACTATCCCAAATGCAAGAGGGAACCCACTTTAAAATAATATATAATTCTTCCATTAGTATAACCATACTCGTAAAATTGCTACACTGGAGAACTTTATAAAGGTTAAAAAGGTTTACGTGGCTGTGGGTGATACAAGTACTACAGGATTATACCAGCACTTGACTGATATTAAGAGGTTGCTCATTGCAGCTGTGGGCTGAGTTAATCACTGCACAGACATAATCACTAAATCTAGCTAATTCTAATCTTCAATTAATGAATATTAACTGCAGTAATGGAGGAAATTAGTTTGGTCACTTTTTATGGTAGAAATAATGTCATTACAAATGGTCTCTGCTCTTGCATACGCTGTTTTCATGATGCGTGAAGGATATTTCACTGAGTCACCTTTCCCGTCCTCCATATAGCACAGTTTCATTGCAAGCTCGGGCCTCACAGTCTATTAATTATTCACATTATCCGGTTCTTCTGTGTATTGACCTCGGTTAATTCTCTAAGATACTGAAATGGCCTTGTACAAACCTGTGCTATTTATAAGACTCATTTACTTCTCAACTTTGCTATTTTTATCCTCTGGATCAAAGCCTGATTGGGGGCAACAACATCAAATCGACAAATGGAACATATGTGGCTATCATTTTTATGATGTGAATTTGAACTCCTGTGGCCATTGGCAGATGGATAATTGGTCTTAATGTAGGAAGATGCCAATGTGATTGTAAAATTAAATTAGAGGCTTTTGTAAGATTTGAATAGAACCACATAAGTATTAAAGTGCTTTTCTTTTTGGCAGCAATGAATTAAGTGGGGTTAACTAAATAGACTGCCTGTAAATAAGTGAGTGTTTATCTTAATTGCATCCAAAGCAGTGGTGGATTTGCACCAGGAATATAACACCATTCATTGGGCTGTGCAATTTTTCATCAAGGGATGGGTGCAGGGTTGGTTTGAAGAAATGCTCACACATAAT